ATAAATTTGATATTCTAAATCATATTATAAGTATAATAATCCATTTGGTAAATTTACTAAAGACGAAAATGATTTATTCGATATTATGGATGATTGGTTACAGAGGGACCATTTCGTTTTTGTAGTTACATTGGTCGGTCTATTGCTCTTTTCTTGTGCCTATTTTTCCGTGGGAGGTTGGTTTATAGCGCCGTAATTTCGACTATTCTGAAGCACAAAGAAAGTTGAATATAAAATAAAAATACTCTTAAACTTTGTCATCTTTAAACTTTAAAAAGCTTCATTTGTTTATCTGTGAACTTCTAAAAATAACAGTAAATAGTCCTAGAAATCGATCACTAATCCAATTTGAGTACCTCCACACAATAGACCTCAACAGAAAATTGAAGAGTAACGGTAACAAGTGTTTGAGTTCAGTAGTTCCTCATATAAAGTTATTGACTCTAGAGATATAGTAATATGGAGAATACTAAATTGTTTCAAGCACCGACAAAACCAGAAGCATCCCTTGTTTCAAAAAGAGGAGGACGGGTTATTCACATTTCATTTAATGGTCAGAGGCAAATTGAAAGTTAAGCCGTGGTAATTCTAAGGATTTTTGAGGGGGAAAATAGAGATGTCTTTTACGTTACCCGTAATATGTGGAAGTATCATGGTCTACATTTTATAGACTATTTTCTTCTTAAATTTTATGGGGGAGTTTTAATTTCTTTTTTTTTTCTTTTTCTTTTTTTTTTTTTTTTGAAAACTCATGAAACAAGTTCGGAGGTTCAAGTATATTTTAAAAACCTTCTTGAAATATTTTTGAAATAAAATATTTAATGGTAAAAATTTTGAGCAAAAAAATTACAAGGATTTTAATTTATTTTTTAATATTAGTTAAATAATGAATTTAGATTTAAATTACAACAATAAATACAAATCATATAACTTATTCAGAATAAATTCCGTCCCTTTACAAGGATTTTAATTGATTTTTTAATTATTAGTTATTACAACAATTGAATTTTTAAATTTGGTGAAAAATAATATAAAGCTAAAGGATTTAAAAAAAAAAAAGGCTTTCATTTCAATTAATTTAATTTAATTTTAAATGTTTCATGTTAATGCCACCGTCGAATTATTTTATTTTATTTTATTTATTAGATTCTACCATTAAGGGGAAAAAAAAAAATTATAAGTTGAATAAAATAAAATAAAAAACTAATTATTTTATTACAAGGCATTAGATCCTAAATACGGTAATAGACAGAGATCTCAATAATCCGACTATTCCCTTCATCAAATTCAAATTTCCCGTTTCACGATCGATGCCATATATTCAATCTTCGCTAATTGATTCTCTGTCTCTCTGTCTCTCCGTTTTGGTAATCTCCGGTTTTTATTTTCCTTTTTGACTCAATTTCGTCTCGAGAAGGTGCAAGAACAACCAAGAAGAAATGGCAATGGATGGAGGTGGCGCAGTGCATAATCGTTCAGTCGAAGATGTTTTCAGTGATTTTAGAGGCCGAAGAAGTGGCGTCATCAAAGCCCTCACCGTAGGTATTCCTCTTTCCTTTTCTTGTTGACTCGTATTGGGAGAAGGATAAAACCAGGCGCGATGGAACTTCATTGTATGTTTTTGCTGTTTTCATGGCCTTAGTACGTATTTTATGTCCTTCTTTCTCCATTTTGGAATGAATTGTTTTACTTTTCGTTGATTTTTGGTTGATTTTGGCGTTTTTGTTCGTGATGTTGCCGTTTGGTTTTTCTTTTTGAGAGAGAAAGCGGAAGTGCTTTGCGAATGAGGAGTAATTAGGATAAGAGAAAATGTGTTTTCTAATGCTGTTCTTAGCTTACTTGAGTGTGGCCGTGCAATTATGAATCTCAGTCTAGTTTTCCACTGTATAAGCGTTGAAATTGCATTATGAATTTTGTTCCTGAATGTGGATCGATTTCTTCTTGTCGATTTGTGTACATGCATGGTAAGACATAAGAGAGCGACGGAGTATTCCTATTGTAGCCAGAGAGAGCTCTCTTCCTTTGCCTGCATTTTTTAAGTTTATGCAACTAATTTCTTGATCATATCTGATACTTTTTGCGAGTCGATGCAAACCTAAAAGTTCATGATCTGTATAGTTTGTTAAAGATTTTTATTTCAATCGAAGAATTTTGTGTTTGGATGAAGTATTAGATAAATGTAGAATGTAAACGGCTGGATTCTTTATTTCTGGAACTTTCATTGAGAGTTAGGAGCGGTTGGTTGTTTGGACCTTGGCTTTTGGCTTCATTTGGGAGTTTCGAATGTCTAATTCTTCTCAGTTTTATCATTGCAGATGTTGAAGAGTTTTATCAACAATGTGATCCTGGTACATGCTTTTAGTTATCTCTGTTTACATCTTATCTTTTAAGACACGAATTCATTGTGTATGGGGCTCTCCTTGTTATCTGGAATATGAACTTTTGACTCCACCCCCATCCGTGCAATTCTGTGTGCTACCATCCCAATTTTCGATTTCATATTCGTAGTCTTTAGTTTAGCGATCCCTTAGCTATTTATAACAGTTTTTTGGTGACTACAGAGAAGGAAAATCTATGCTTGTATGGTTTTCCAAATGAAGTATGGGAAGTTAATTTACCTGCTGAAGAAGTACCTCCAGAACTCCCAGAGCCAGCATTGGGTATTAATTTTGCAAGAGATGGGATGCAAGAAAGGGATTGGTTGGCTTTGGTTGCTGTCCATAGCGATTCTTGGTTGCTCTCTGTTGCCTACTATTTTGGTGCGAGATTTGGATTTGATAAAGCTGATAGGTATTTTCATTTTGAATTTATTGTTCACATTGGAGTTATTTCAACAATCATGATTGTTGGTCTTGCTATAAAATGGTCTGCCTTGTTTTTTTGATGCAGGAGGCGGCTTTTTAATATGATAAACGATTTGCCAACTGTATTTGAAGTAGTCACTGGTGTTGCAAAGAAACCAGTCAAGGAAAAGTCGTCGAGTGCTAATGGTAGCAGATCCAAGTCCAACTTTAAAACGGTATGCTGATATATCTTCAGTTTTACAGTTGGTTGACTGCTTTTATTTGTTCTACTCTATTCTTACTACCATTGTTTCGATCTCGTAGTTTTAACAAACAATGTAGCTTAGGTGTTTCCCCTGCCTCTACATATAGAAAAAGAATGTAGCTGGGACAATTATCTTATATGGGCTTGTTTAACTATGCCTATCCTAGTTATAATAATGTTTATAGTTCTGGTGGACAATCTCCAAACAATCTCCAATTCTTCGGTTGGTTTACCTACTTGAGGTTTGGAAATTCAAATGAAAGAGGAATTAGAAAAAGAAGTAAATTCCTTTTGAGTTTCGCCTTTGCCCTTCCGTGCACCCGCCTTAGGCAAGGCTGATCCCACGGCTAAGATAGTTGCTCTAGAGGTCGCGCAGCAGCTTCCAGCTTTACCTGCGAATCCTGCCAGTTCGTGTCATGATTTATAATCTATATTGCTAGAAATGAATTGATTTTGATCTCTTCTGTACCGTATGACTCAGTTAGACTCGGTTATTTCCTCTCCTCCTACTCAAGAACGAAATTGATACCCCAAGACTTATTGTTGCTGCCTGTTGGTCTGATATAATTTTACAGCATCAATTACATGGATTATTTACTTCATCCTAATGTTTCAACTATTTTCAGAGGGGTCTGATATAATTTTACAGCATCAATTACATGGATTATTTACTTCATCCTAATGTTTCAACTATTTTCAGAGGGAAGCTGAAATCCATGGAATGTATTCAAGGCAACCGCAGGCAAGGGAAGAGGTAGAGGCCTTGTATCAAGAAGACGAAGACGAGCACGGAGACACCTTGTGTGGGGCATGTGGTGAGAATTATGCATCAGATGAATTTTGGATTTGCTGTGATATCTGTGAGAAGTGGTTCCATGGGAAATGCGTTAGAATAACTCCTGCCAAAGCAGAGCACATCAAGCAGTACAAATGCCCATCCTGCAGCCACAAGAGAGGCCGCGTTTGAGAGAGGCAGGCAGGCAGGCCAAATGCAAAATTGTGGTGTTATTTTCATCTTCCTTTTGGTTAATGGAATCAGTGACACAGGGTAAGTGCTTTGCTTTAGACTACTTCAGGTATCCAGTTTTGGGTAACTCTCAATGCCTTCCCTTGTTTCTTATATGTAAAGTCTAGATGATGGGTAGTCTATATAATATAAGTTTGCCTCTTTTATATAACCTTGAAAGCTCTCAAGAATGAACCGTGTTAACCTTTTGATTTTAGTTAAAAGTAAGAGATGCTCAGTGATGTGGAACCAACTCTATTCCTGTTCTATTGGCCTGTTAGATTCCAATTATGAGATTTATGTGAAATATCATTTTAGCCCCTCCATTGTTTTTCAATAAATAAATCTTATAATTAGTATTTATTGTGTGTTATAGTTAGTTTGGATTTAAAATTAGGAATTAGAAACCAAGGGTCCCACTACCATTATAATTTTTCATGTATAGGGTTGGCCCAACTATTCATCGCATGAATGTCTTATATCTGGGCCTTATGACTTTATTCTATGTGTACATCTTTTGATTGGGTTGGTTAAAGTGTTTTTGGTCCTTTATTCAAAATTTCATTTAGTAAAATATTTAATTAGATTTGCATGTTTTTTAAAAAATTACCTTCTATAAATATTTAATTATATCTAAGATTATTTGAAAGGTAAATAATTGAAAAAAAAATTATAAAATTGAATATAGTATGTATTATTGTATTATAAGAAAAAATTTATATTTTAAAACTAATAATAAGTTCTCAATTTAGGAGAACCAGATCAGTTGTCACTTAGTAATCTTGAAATTCCAGAGTCTCCATGATACTTTTTCTAAAAAAAAAATTAAAAAAAAAAAAGTTTATAACTAATAAAACTGTATAGATTGGATCGGAAATAATCGGTTAGTTTTTTGAACACCCCTAAAAAATATTCGGAACATTTTACATTATGATATAACATCATATGTCACACCCATTCCCAACACTAAACCAAAGTTAATATACATTTAAGATATGAACATTGAGAAGTCTTGCACTATATGAACAAGGCAGAGTGATTGGAAAAAAGAAAAAAAGAACGAAATCCCAAATGAGAATCATCAGAAACAGTTTGAGAAAATGACAATCTTCAGCATTTAGAACCATCCGTTTAGCTTATTAAACCCTCTTGATTCTTGGTTGATAGCCGTTTGAGAAGTTCATATGTGGTGATCATTGTCGTTGCAGACATTGACATCGACGCGCACCGGGGTGCCAAACCTCGATAACACGCCGCCCACCCGCCTTCCCTTACTAAATTTCTCAATGTCTGACCAATTGTTGGCCCTCTTCTTCCATCCCCATCCCCATCCAAAACCTGCAATCTTGTCTTGATTGTATCAAGAGGCATTGTTATCAAAGCCGAGATACTGCCCGCCATCGCTGCGCTCCCACCCTGTACTGCCATCACAGTCTTGGAATCTGGCCTGTAAACATTAGCCCCATTGTCATTGCCTTCACCAACAACCTTCTTAGCTTGATAGCATCCAATTCCTCCCCAAATCAGCCGCTGTGCTACATAATAAGAAGCCCACCACATCGCATTCGATGGCGCGTATGTCATAATCGATATCCCAAAGCCTCGGTAGAGGCCTCGGAGACCATCGGCGTCAAGGATCTTTCGAAACGCATCGATTCCATTGATGTAATGAATGGAGGAGCTACTTTGAACCATCAGTCTTTGACTCACTACATCAACGGGAGTCCATACGAGTTGAGCGGCCATTGCAGCACTCAATCCAGCGGCTGCATTAGCAATTGTAGCGGCAGTAGCCTCTGGAAATCCCATTCTAACAGTGGCGGTTCCGACATAGCTCTTTGTACACTCTAGGGCTCCCATGTACAGAGCCCTAGCAGGGATAGTCCCCATCAGAGAAGTTCCAAATCCTCTGTACAGAGCACGAAAACCCTCATGGCGGACGAGAGAAAATGCAGTTCTGATGCAGGGAAGCTCCGAATAAGCAACCTGTTGACGAGTTTTCAACACCACCATAGGGTAAAGAGACGCCGAAACGCCTGAAAACAGCGCTGCACCGAGAAAGAAGAATTTAGATTTATCAAGCATTTGCCAATCGATTTCGGCAGGGATATGAATCTCCTGCGGTGATTCTTCCTCCGCCGCTCCCAAATTCATCTTCGCCACTTTCTACAATCTTCCACAGAAGGACAAAAAAAAAAAAAAAAAAAAAAAAAAAAAAAAAAAAAAAAAAAAAAAAAAAAAAAAAAAAAAAAAACGAAATATCAAATGATTCAGAATCAACTTCAATCTTCAAAGCTCAAATCTCCGCCGCCACTTCTTCCGTCTACAACCGAATCGATGCAAAGAAAACATATGACGAATAACGAGGCAAGACTGTACAAAATTTTGGATTAATATACAAATTTCACAGAAGAGACCGATCTCGAATTATTCAATTCAAAAGTTTTTTCCTCTTGTGGAACCAGGTCTTCGATGGAACACATTCAACGACGTATTGATCCACCATTTCAAGGTGAAACGACAACATTCACCGGATAAAATTCTTGAAAAACCAGTGGATTAGAGATGGAACAAGAAGAAGAAGGAAATTTGGGGCTCCGATTTGGGTGTTAATGGCGGTAGGAGAGGTAGGAGGAGAAAAGGAACCGGGTGAGACAGGAATGAGGTGTGAAGGAAACATAAATAAGAGAGTAAAATAAGACCGACACGTGGCGGTTTCCGATTAGAAAATGTCGATAGCTTTGCTTTGTTAGGGTTTCCACCTATGTTGGGCTGCTAAGCGGCGGGTCGTTTAAACCAACAGGTGACGTGTAAACCCTATCCATCGGAACCGGTTTTTTTGAGTTTTTATCCTCTGTGGCAAGGCTCGTGAAATTCACCAACCAAATTTTATTGTTTCAAGAAGGAGATCCTCGTTTAAATGGAAAATGAAAGAGGGATCGACAAAGACGAGAAAGGAAAAGACCTCTCTGTCCCCACTCGGTAAGACATCTCTAAGGTCAAACTATTGATGTTTCGGTTGAAAAACATGACGAGACGGCAAAATAGGCAATAAATTTTTACCCTAGAAGGCATCTGATTAAAAATGATAATAACACTCAAATACAAAATTGACTGAGCTTTTCAAACACGAGCATAGTTCAAGTGACACAAAACACGTATCAGCTACAAGATCAGATCAAAAGCTTAAAATTCGTGTTCCAATATTTAAACCAAATTTTTAATTTGAATCGAACTTATTTTGTACTTATGACAAAAAAAAAAAAAAATGTCGTAGGGACATAATCGTCAATAATATTATAATGAATAACATATATTTAACATGCCACGTGTAAATATATAATATGCAAGATGTTGATGGTAGACATGTCCAAGTCAATGGCTTTGGTTGTTGTTGTTCATTCTTTTACGTTTTTGCCGCCTTATTTTGCAGACATCAATTGTCCTTTAATCATCAGACAGGAATATATTCAACTCTGCCATGGATAAGCTTCGCACGATGTCACGGTCATGCTTGTTTAAAGTTTATTGTCTATGGATGCATATCGGATGTTTCGGTTACGCTTGTCCAAGACATATTGTCCTTTATCTCATGCCCATTCCAAACCCATTTTACATGCTTTTATCTTAAATAACCATTTACTATTTCATGTTGTGTCGATACACGAGTGTGTGACCGGTCACTAAAATTATGTTTCCACTTGTTAAAGCTAAAATGCCCCAAAATGTATTAAGGGATGCGATTAGTTGTCAATTTTTGTTTTCAAATGTATTTTCTCGCTCACGTTTTCTAAAACATTTCTTACAAACGTAACTCGAGGCTCAATCATACGTCTACATTGTCTGCGAAGTTTGAATTTCTCATGGCTAACTAGTTCACTGAGTTAGAGCAAGTGTCACATAATCGTTGTCCCGCTGCCACAAAAGTGTGGTTGTGCCACACGATATACAGTTACTAAAGCCTCAATAGCAACATCTCCACAACAACTTTGAGACATGCTCCGGGAATCATCCATGACAATCATGTTTGTTAGGTCTCATCATTCTCATCCAAATCTTATCTTTACAATAATGACTTGGATTGTTCATTTTCTCCAACTCATCGTCACTCAAAGAGAGCATTGAAAGTTTATGCATTCGTTCGTTCAAGTAAATTGTATTGACAGATACCAGATCATATAGGAGCACCGCCTTCAGTGTTATAAAGTTCTTGAGATTCCTCCTCTTAGATTCTCAAGTTGAAACAGGTATGAGACCATGATAGGTGATTTAACAATGACATCATAATAGGGAAGTGTATTACAATTTGTATGAACGTTCGTCGGTGTGGGTTGATCAATGATTCAAGATTTAAACTACATTGGTTATGAGGGGAACGAACTCTTCATCCACGTAGCTAAGCATTGGAACCGTTTTGATTTTATTAAGAATTAAAAGAAAAACAATAAATACGAGAGTAAAAACTCTACCTTTGTAGAAACCCCAGCAAGAGTTCTCAAAGTAGTCCTGCCATGCAAACGTTCTTCATATTCCATAAGTTCTTTCTTGCTCTGACTCGAACACAGGACCAAAATTTGTGGAAGCCTCCGGAAAGAAAATAAATCTCAAACCGATTAAAGATATTTGCATATCTAAGAATATAATATCTTATACAAATCATATTTAACTATTATAAAATATCTCAACATATATTTGGCTAATTTAAATCTCATATAAATGTTAAATATATTAAATTATTTGGCTAATTTAAATCTCATTTAAATGTTAAATATATTTTTATTTAATGTATCAAATACATTAATTAATTTAATATTTAATGTATCAAATACAATAAATATATTTTTTCTATTTAATATATCTAATATATTAAATTTTAATTTGAACCCTCTAATTTTTTCTTTTAAATAAATAGAACTTTTAGTATTACTTTTTCATTCATTAACTATAGGTCACTCCACGGTAGATCAGAGTTGTACGAGCAAGTTATATCTAATGAACAATTTGTTTATGATTAAATCATAAACTAAGTCCCTCTCGTGCCAATGAGAGGGTGGGACCTTATTGTTCAAGTCCCGAAATGAGTACTTAAGAGAACAACTCATTTACTTTCATTGATATGGTCCCAAACTTTCCATAACGGTAGGCATATTGGATTGGCTAAAAGAGTCATTCTCACCCATGTAAATCAAAGGACAAACCCTCATAGACAGGAGTTCATAACTCACTTAATATTAAGATCGAGTCACATATGATTATAATGTAAAATATTAATCTTCTCAATTAACGGATTTATAAAAAGATATTAAATATTTTTTGGTCCAGTCTTATACAAATTCATTGTATAGGATACTTCCACTTATATGTCTCCACATGAACGATTTGGATTAAATCATTTGTAACGATTACAAGGTGAGTCGTTTTAATAGTGTTACCAGGATAAGACACCCAACCTTATCCATATATATAGACTTTTTAACCTATACCATGATCTAACCTAAGATCTAACAAATAAAAATACAACTACTTTGTTGTCTTAGACCGGAGTTACTAATTATTTTTTGTATTGGCCTAAATTTGCTTATCAAGTTCCAATTCAACGTTAGATCCATCGTCTCGATGATATTAATTAAAACTAAATGACCGCAAAAATGAGCCACTTTATAGTCCAATTATTGAGGGTAAAGAAATATCTCGACATCAGCTAATTTAGATAATGATCATGAGTTTATAATCAAATAATACTATCTTCAGTGATATGAGACCTTCTGAAAGAGTCTAAAGCGAAACCATAAGAACTTATACTCAAAGTGGACTGAGAACGTGTTGGTCTAGAATCTTTCATGAACAAATGAATGAATCCCTGGCTATGGCTAATGATATATCACTGTGTTGCTTTGTTGGTGGCCAACTGCACCTACATTTTGACTATGCACTCTTTTACATGCCTTTCTTTTCTATATGCCATAACCCACCCTTGGTCCATATTTGAAGTTCCAACATCCATTTAATGTTCCAACTTCCAACAAATCTCGAGATTCGAGATAATAATATAGTATTCATTATCAATTTCATCGTCTACTGGTGTAAGACGATCTCTCTTTTACAGAACCAACGAGAACTCGACTTCTTCTGAAGAGAGGATATTACGAAAGGAAGTTGATCATGGATTATCAATAAGCTTGGAATTGATTCATCTCGCCATACAGTAAATTTCTTGGCAATAAGTCTACATTATTCGCAGATCCAATATATAACGATATAACCCATTTATTGATTGAGAGATTGATTTTCAATCAAGATATGGATCGAACAACATTAAATAACTAAGGGTGAAACACTGAGTTAGGTGGGAACTGTGATTACGATCTCTTTCTTTCTCCGCGTTTAATAACACCTATGAAATAAAATAATTAAAAAATTCCTAAAATTCAATTAAAATGTTTGTTTTTAGAGAAGAATCCACCAAGGACATCAATAATTCAAAATATGATTGATGGAATTCAAACAATGTCTCTTTCTAATTCCATGTCATATAAATTAATATAGATATTTATTTAATATTCATACCTGGCAAATTATTTGAGAAAATATTAAAATAAAATAAAATAAAATAAAAAATTCATATTCAGAATATCTCAAAATATATATAAATCTATGTTTCTACGTGTCCTATCATCATGTCATAATATTCTAAAACAACAAACAAAAGAATTGATTTTTTTTTTTTTTTAATTATTGAAAAGAAATACTATGGGCTGGGCCTTATCTTGATTTACTTTGGGCCTGGGCCTGCTGTTCGGCCTAGGTTAGATCGCTTCCTCGCCGATCTCTCCTTGATGGAATTCATCTTCTGCAACTTCAAATCGGCTTTGAACCTTGCAATGAACTTATCGGCTTTACTGTTAACATCCGGGCTTGAACAGAATATCGGAGTAGTTGAAACTTGCTTGACCTTCATTTTTCCGGCTGCCGGTGGACCATCGCCTTCACTCTCGTCAATTTCCGGCGAGATGGCTCTCGGTGTACTGCTGTTGCTTCCTGCACTGTCGAAGTCTCCGTGCATTCTGAACAGCGGCGGTGGCGGTGGCGGTGGTGGCGGAGGAATCAGATGGAATGGCGAATCGCAGCCAATGCGCGTATTGTACTCTTCATCGTTTAAGCTGCTCAGTCTCTCAAGCTCCATTGGAGGATCGTTAGGTTTGAGGTGGTGATTTTGAAGTTCGATCTCTGGTTTAGGTTCTGAGGTGACGATTGTTGGTGGAGGTGATTCTGGTGGAGGTTCGGACTGTACTTTTTTGGCTTTTCCTTTCTTGGAAGGAAATAGATTTTGTAGAACTGGTGGTGGGAGCGGCGGAGGCGGTGGGGGTGACGCTAGTGGTAATGATGATGTTGAAGCGCGTAGAGTGGCGATAGCCTCAAAGCTTTCGACGCTCTTTTGTCTTTGCTTTTTCTTCCTCCTCCTCAGAGCGGACCAAATTTCTTTTGGAGCGCCACCTCTCTTCTTCTCGTTTTTGCCGCTCTTCTGCTCCGATTCCTGATAGAACGACGGCGGGGAGAGTGGTGGAAGGTGAATCCGTTGAAAATCGGCGACGTCCGAATCGTCATTCTTCTGCTGTTGATCGATTGCTCCATCGGGAGTATGGCTATGGACGTTATGCGTTCTCTTTGGCCTTCGTTTAACCACTTTAGGAGTCGTGCTAGCGGGAGTCTGAAGCGTTGGAGGTGGTGATGGAGATCGTGGGGGAGGCACCCGCGGCGGCGAAGGTATCGCCGGTTGTGAATATACATCTTCGTGAACCTCAGATCTGTCGAAACCTGTACTTTTGGCACCAGAATCTTCCCGTTCAAGCTCCGGCCGAGCTTGATGACGGCGATGAAGCTGATCGGAAGACGCAAACCGATGATTACGCACATGAGTATCGTCGTAAAATCGCCACCGTTCATCACCGGCATCTAATGAAGACTCCTGCAGACGTAGATCCGGATATGAACTACTACTCCTCATCCGATTCACGGTGTAGTGATTCGGCCGATGATCGGGATATCCATCCCATTGGCGCGGAGTCGTAGGGTTTGACTTCAGTCTCCGCCTGGAAGAAACGCTCCGATCTTCAAATCCTCTATTGTCATCACCCGTGTTTCTACTCAGAAATCCACAAACAATGGCAAACAGAACAAGAACCAAATTGAGCGAATCCCAGCTCTTCTTGACCGATTGAGGCCGAATCAATTGAGAAGCGAACTGTACACATTTAGGAATCACAATCAAGACGAAACAGAGAACTATTACTAACAAAACAAAGAGAAAAGCGCTGGAGTTGAGGAGGAACGACGATGCGCGGCTGAGGCGACGACGGCGATTGTAGTGAACTTGCTGAAAAGAGTTAGAGGATTGAAGCCAGAACGGCGGCGACGCGTTGCCGTCTCCCTCCATTTTCACCGGTGAACTCGGATTCGTTCGGCTTTTTCCCCTTTACAGAAAGGATGTGATTGCCTTTTCTCTTTCTTAGCTTTGGGCTTGAGCTTGAGCTTGCTTTTATCGTCGTGCCGTATTATGAAATCGCTTTTGCGTTTCATTTCTTGCTTGCGTGCGAGTATTTATAACCAAAAGCGAGTTGTAAATGCAAGATGTCATGTGACCCACTTCCCATTATCTAAAATCCCTACCCTAACCAAAATCAGACATTTATTAGCCGTTCGATTCGATCTATGATGTGTTAACTCTCAAGGACGGCTAAGAATGTTCGTCAGAAGGAGCGGACCAATGAACTCTTTTCAAGGATGAACCGAATGGTTGACAGGGTCGTGCTATCTCTTATTTTGAATGTGGTATCTTGATGACGATATGATAACATAACATTAGATATTAAATAAAAGAAATGGTAATATACGAGATGATTTTTAAACAATTATTCAAAATCTAATTTCGATGTTGCTAAAGGGTGGGTACTTTAAAAAAGTTTTCAGTTGGATATGGAGCTCGGGTTTGATATTTTATTCTAAAGATTGTTCCTTGTACGTTTTAAGCTAATAAACGATCCAAAAGCTAAATTAAATTATCTTGGAACATCCTTCTTTCCAAATAGTGAGATCAATTGTGAGACTGACGGTAATACGTAACGGGTCAAAACGGGCAATATTTGCTAGCAGTGAGTTCAAGATATTACAAATGGTATCAGAACTAGTCACGGGGCAGTGTACTGAGGATGTTGACCCCCAAGGGGATTGAGATTAACCAGACATGGGTCAGTGTGTTGAAGACGTTTTAAAATCGTGAGGCTAACAACGATACGTAACAAGCCAAAACGAAAAACATTTGCTAGTGGTGGGTTGGGCTGTTATAAATGGTATAAGAACTAGACACATGGTTTCCCAATACCTGATGGCGATGAACTTAGACTATTACAATTTCACGTTATACCGTAATTTTCAAGATTCTCGAGTAAGTATTTTGTTAGTTCAATAATCGATGTTATAATTAACAAAAACACAAAGGAATCATTCCTTAACGTAATTTACAATAATGTTTAGTTTAAGAGTAAGCCGTCAACTACCCTAATCTTACCTTTCAAGATATTCTTATATCTAAACGTATTCTCATTGGATAACAAGTAGTACAACACGTATTTATTTATATTTTACCAAAGTTAATCATATTATTCTAGAAAAAGCATCAACAAATTAAGTTATAATTCATTAATAATGCTTAATTTTTAAAAAATTAATAATTCTCCTTAGACCAATTTATAGTTTAGGTTAAATTACAAAATAGTTTTAATTCGAAAATTAATTTTTATAGTTAATTTATAATTTTAATTCGAGTCAAATTAAGAGTATATATTATATATTATAGTAATTTGCCCTAAAATTTTAAGTATAATTAGCACATGGGCATGGCCCATGGGTCAAGTCGTGGAGGTCAGACGCGCTAAAAACATTGCTTAATGACGCGGCTCTCGTTTTCCAAATAGACGGGGGCTGTCTTTATCTTAATTATTATTATTATTATTATTATTATTATTATTATTATTATTATTATTACGGCTGAATTAATTAAAAAATACGTAATTAATATTAAAAGTTTTAATAATACTGTTTTTATTTTATTTTATTTTATTTTAAATATTATGATTTTAAAGCAAGCCGTCATAGCCAAACGCGCTAAAAACATTGCTTAATTCCACGGCTCGAAATTTACGGAAGCTGTCTTTTATTATTCTTATTATTTATTAAGTGTATATATTTATATATTTGAATTAAATTAAATTTTTTCAAAACAAAAATTTTGGTTCGGTTCAGATTTCGAGTTGGTTTAAACTCATATACGCACTAATTTATAATCAAAATGTGTGCGGAAATGATGAATAATAAATTATTAAAATAATTAATGTGTCATAAAAACTTTAAAATTAAGCTTTTTTTTATAAAATATGTGAGTGAGTACAAAATATTTTAAAGGAACCCGAACCCATGTTGATTTACGAAGATTGTGAGAATAATTTTCGCTCTTTAACAATATTTAATGTCAAGTAGATAATAACGTGCACATATCACTGGAAAAATGTTATGTAATATTATAATTCAAATCTTAAATATTACCGCACAAAAACAAATAATATTAAGAGACAAACAACATTATTGTATTTTTTAAAAAGAACGCGTTCTTTTTGTTCTCTTAATTCGTTCGTTCGATCGCTTCCTTTTAGTTCATAAATTATTTGTTGGTAGTTGCTATCGTAGATTACCATTTATATTGTGTTATTTGTTTATTCATCGTCATTTTTCAAGACTACACGTAAATCAAGTTTTGAATTTATTTTAAATTATTTTTTTAATTTCAACCTTCAAACATTTAACATTTCCATTTTATAAATATATTGTTGTTTAAAAAATTGAAAGTCAGTGCTGTATTTAATGCTACACAATTTTTTTTAATTAATTTAAAAATTTTATCTGAAAATATTAAAATTTAGTTCATATAATTTTAACGGTAAGAATTATTATTTAGGGATGAAATAGTATTTGTGAATGTTTAATTAAGCCATAAAAATTATTTAAGAATTTTTAATAAATTATAAATTATAAAATTTAAATTAACTATTTTTTGTAAATATTAAAAATATGTTTTTATTTTAATATTGTGACGTGAAATATTTGTTTGTCTTCTAAAAATATTTTAAAATGCTTTTATTTTTTTTTAGTATTGGAAATAAAATGTTAAAAGTTTAATGTCAATAATAATATTACCTACTATTTGCTAATTAATCCCTCTATTCATCATAATTCACTTGTAACGGCATTCATACCAAATAATTGAGAGCCAGACCAAGCCCTAGCTCGTCTTCTCTCTCAAAATCGGCAGGTTTGATTATTTTCCTTTCTAATTATGTATGTTTTTCCTGTTATCTTTCTCTGTAGGCTCCAACAATCATAGGTTTTCTTTTCTTTTTCTTTTTGATGTCAAGATTTGGCGTTAATCTCTGCTTGTGTGTCGGGTTTTTTTGTTATTGTTTTTGTTTGTCGATGTCAAATTTCGGTGTTAATACAGGAATCTATTGTTGCCTATTAAGTCTGAATCTATTGAATTAATCATCTAGTTTTGGTTTGTTCTTTCCTGTGGAACTGTGAGTGTAATTATTAGGGGAATTGTTGTTCATACTTCGTTTATGATTTTTTCTGTGTAATTTTTATAGCTTCTGTTTTGGAAAAAGGTTAAAGCGGTGTCTGGTTCTAGAGATTTTGTTGTTTCTTTTTATGAAAAATATCTGATAGCCCGTGAAACCTTTTCCTAATTTGAAACAACATTGATGCCTGTTCTCCTCTTTATATGGCTTCCAAGTTTGGCTTTTCTGATTCAGATCACCTTTTGCAGGATAGCTTTGGTCAATTTATCATTTTTTCTGTTTAGCCATTGTTCTCTCATGAGTCGTGACCATTGAATGAATTGAGCTGATTAAATGATCGCATTGTTGTTGGTCGTATGGTTTGATATATTTTAATTTGTTTGCCTGTTCATCTTGATTTTCCCTTTCTTTAGGAATCTTTTGATTATATTTTGCGCTATTTTCTGCTTGCTGCCATGACAGGTTTGGCTCCAGAAGGATCCCATTTTGAATTCCACCAATATGATGCTGAAATGAAATAGAAGTAATTCCGGAAGCTACTTGTTCCCGGGAAATTGACGTGTTAAGTTCTCTTCAGCGAGCTGAAGCTCTTGGAGTTGACAACTGTGTGTGCATTTAAAAATCTGAGGGTTGTTTTCTTGTTTATTTGAATTATACACACTCTGAGCTTGTTAACAGAATTAATGGCGGGAGATTCTAAATATTTTGAAGAAACCCATTATGCAGTACCAGAAGCGAATTCTCAGTCTCCAGTGAAGAAAAAGAAGAGTGAAAAGAAGAAGAAACGAGTTCCACCTGTGAATACAAAAATCCAAGTCCTCAGCAACCATCCTGAGAAAATTCCACCACTAGTTGGTTATTTCCCCTCTGGATATGATCCTAACAAGGATCCCAATGAGGAAGCGGTCGAGGAACAAAATTCTGTAAGGGCTAAGGTTTATAGGCACAAGAAAAAACCAAATAGGATGCAGCTGATTGTTAGTCCAACAGGGTCGAATGTGGATTTTGTTGGTACCAATTACTTGGGTGAGGCTACTGCTGGAAAACAACATTGCTCCTATGCTCTCGGTGTTCTCGATAAGGCAACCCAAAGCTTAAAGATTGTGCCTATTGCATCAAATATGGTACGTTATTCTCAATAATGAACGTAGAGAAAAAGAATCGCGAGAATTGAATCCTAATTGATGCTTGGTTGTTTTGGTGTCTGCGTTGAAGCCTGAAGTTACAAATGCCTCTTATTCGTCCTCTACTTATCTGTTTGAAATGCAATTTGGCCACTTTACAATATGTTCATCTTCATGCTGCAATAGTCTCAATTATGTTACTAAGCTTGATATTTATCCTTGCAGATATTTAGATTGGATCCTAAAGTTAGTGGTTCAGATGTTCCTGAAAATGAATCCCCAAGTGTAGCGAACGACGAGCTCTCTGTGCAGGAGAAAGCTGATAGAATGAGAGAGCTCAGCAATCTCTATGGGACGAAGAAGTCAATAAAACAGGTAGTAATAGAATCCTGGAATTGCGTTCTTTTAGTTCTTCAGCAGCCATCTTTCAGCGACTTATTTATTAAACAAATATTGAACTTAACCTTATAAGCAGGGGAGAAGAATTATGGGAGGCATATTATCATGAAAAAGCATCATATCTTTTCTGTTCACCTTTTTTGTTGCCTTTAATTTTGGTTTTGGATGGAATAACTTCGAAATTGCAATTTCAAGAAGTAGCAACAAATTGTTTAATATTGTTAATGTGTGGCAGGCAAAGAAGCTGCTTTCTTTGAAGCAAGAAGATGATCCTGAGACCAAGAAGGATCTAGATGGGAAAATGAAAAACGTCGTCGTAAACAAAGAGGCGTTGGAAAGTTCGAATGCACAAATTTCTCGTAATATACCGACATATAATGCTTCTGCAACTACTCCACAAGAAGCTTACCCCCTCGACAAGATTATCCTCAAGGGAGAATGGGGTTTCCTGGAAGATCTTTATTTCCTTTTGCAAGCAGAATCTGAAATAAGTGCTAATTATCCATCCTTTGTCCGCAACAGAATTTATAAATTGCAAGACATTCAGGTATTATGTTAAGAAGGTTCTAATTTTCCTTTATGAATACTCTGAGACAAAATTTGATGCATCTTCATGAATTTTTTAGTTGGTCAGTATTATTTATTGAGTATGATGAATCATGTCGATTCTCAGATTAAACTACTTCGTCTTTGTTTTTCACTGATGTTTTCAAATGGAAATGATTGAGTGCTTTTTGAAATTTGTTAGGAATCACGACCCTCCAAAATGGTATGATATTGTCCATTTTGAGCATAAGTGTGATGTCCCACATTGGTTGGGGAGGAGAACGAAACACCCTCCCTTGCAGATACGTTTTAAAGCCTTGAGGAGAAGCCCAAAAGGAAAAACCCAAAGAGGACAATATCTGCTAGCGGTGGACCTAGACCGTTACAATAAGCTCTCATGACTTTGCTTTTGGTTTCTCCAAAAGACCTCATACCAATGGAGATGTTTTCCTTACTCATCAACCCCTTAATTAGCCAGTGTGGGACTCCTCTTCCAACAATCCTCAACAAAACTAACTTGGCCTTTATGTTTGTTTATAGAGTTCGATACTTGGTCTTTATTGTTTTGTGGAAAAGTATGCTTTAATTATTTATTTTGCATGTTTGTTCTAAATTGTAGATTCGTTCTGCAGCTGTACTGCCTGTTTCTAAATAAGTCTTATCCTTAAAATTCTGTTCATTTGTATTGAATCCTTTTTGACGTTAAAATCATCTTTAGGATGAGGAAGAGAAAAAGAAGCTCTGCTGCATATATTCATACATCACTCATCTAATAAAGTATAAAGATCAGCATTCTATGGATGGCGTTTCTTCTGTTGAGGGCCATAAAATTCCTAGCATGCTACGACAAAAGTTCTCATCCATGTTTTCAACAACGGAGTCGAGAAGACTTTCTGCAGAGAAAACCGATCTTCTCATTAGCCACGTTTTGGTGCTCACATTATTCGCCGATGAATTCAGCAGCGATCCATCAGACATAGCAAGGGATCTGAGAACTAGTCCTTTCACTCTAAGAGTTCATTATGACAATCTGGGTTGCAAGTTTATACGCAAGAACAACTTGTCATGGGTTACGCTTCCTGTTCCGCTTCAATTTCCCGAGTTGAGGCAAAAGAGACGACGATAAGCAAGATGGTTAGATTGTAGTAGTTACACTGTTGCTGTAATTTAAAGTAGTTGAATTCTGTACAGGAAAAGGTCGAGCAGTTTTGTTGAGTAAAACGGGTAAATGGTCATATTGATAATCTTCATATGTTCTTTCTTTCACATTGTAAATGGCAACATCTTTCCATGAAACAGCTCTGTGGCATAGAATGGCGTTTTCTTATTTGGAAATTGGAACTGTGGATGGTGAAGCTTAATGAGACGATGAGGTTTCGTTTCTTCTTCCTACCCGGGATTTAGTTTTTGACTTTCGATCGAGATTATGATTATGTCTTGTATTTTTTAGAGATTTGAATCATTCAATTTCTTGGTTGAGAGTCTGTGTTTTAGTCTTTGTTCTGTGAGTTGGTGTTCGATTGAGTTTAACAAACTTATTTTCATTTCTCCTTATGACAATTTACTGTATTTTGTAAATAATTTAGTGACATAATATGATAGAGAAGAAGTCTTGACCGAAGAAAGCCGAGCAAGAATCTTAGTAGTCGAAGGGGAAATCCCATATAAAATATACTCTAGTATATGTAATAGTCTAAGCCCACTTAAAAGATATTGTTCATTTTAGTCCGTTACGTATAGTCATCAGCTTCACGATTTTAACGTGTCTATTAGGGGGAACCGTTCCCCCTCTCCAATCAATATGAGATCTCACGATCCACCCATTTGGAGACCTAGTGTCCTCACTGGTGTTTGAGAGGTTTCGACACCTTAGGTTTCCCCTCTCTAATCAAAATATGAGATCTCACAATCTACTCCCTTTGAGACCCAATGTCCTCACACACTTGGTAACTCACTTTGATACCATTTGTAACAACTCAAGCCCATCGCTAGTGATATTGTCCGCTTTGGTTCGTTACATATCACCATCAGCTTCACGAGTTTAAAGCGTATCTATTAGGAGGATGTTTTCACACCCTGAATTTCTCCTCTCCAACCAATGTGGGATCTCATAGGATATCTTTTGTCTAAGAACTAGAGACCAACATTGATTATACTTTGGGGTTGGCAATAACTCTATATTCAATATTGTATAGTGTATTTCGGTATAGCGAGGGATCTCAATGTTTCTATTAAGAACATTAGTTTGCATCGAAATCGAAAACAAAATTATACATAGAATTATTTATTTTCCAACCAGTTTTAGAAAATAATTTCTCAAAAATACCTGGGAGAAAAAGATTTAAAAGAAATGAAATACAAAATATTTGAAGTGATAAATAAATGAGTGTGAAAATGGCGGAGGGGCCGGGGGACAAAAGATAGGTAACTGTATATTTATCATCCTCATGTCATCGCCCAGCTGGTTTGAACGTTCATCAATCTTTGTTTGTCATTGGGATTCCAAATGGAGCAAACATATAGATCGATTTGGTTTCAATTTTTTAAACTATCATCTTCTTCACCACCCCTAATTTTAGCAACCACTGATTGGATTTGAGATTTTTGGCGAAGATGATGGTGTTCGTCTTCTTGTTTCTACTCTCCCAAATTTAGTAAAGCAATGGCAATCAAACCGACTCCTTATTCCATTGTCCACCCTTGCTCTGTTTTCATTACGCGTCACCGTGTTTTGTCTGTTCTGTCCGGCGGCGTGAACCGTGGTGGTGGCGTTTCGGGCTGTGGCAGCTCCCATGGCTGAAGAAGAAACTAACGAATCCGTTACCACCACCCACACGGTGATCGCCATTAACAGGGACAAGAACAGTCAATCCGCGGTGAAATGGGCTGTGGAACACCTGTTCAATAGGAAGAACTCCGGCGATTGCATCCTCATCCATGTTCGGAGTCAGAGCTTGCATCCCCGTAGGTATCCGTCTCCCTTGTTGTTGACGTTGTTTAGCCGTCGTCATTCTGATTTTCGTATCCATGGTTAAATTGCCATTTCCAAAAAACGAAATGTACTGAAATGCACCCTAACGTTTGGAGATGAATTAATGATTTCTTGTGATTTGGCCTTTGTATGCAGAGGATGCGGATACGGTTCCTAAGGAGTATCGTCCACCGACTGATGCTGAATTGCATCAGTTCTTCCTTCCATACCGAGGATTCTGTGCACGAAAAGGAGTAAGCAATTTGCCGAATTCCTTGTTATAAACAAACAATCCATAATAGTAATAGTGTAGCAATCTCAGATAGTTTTCAGTTTTCAAATTAGGTTTTCTCTCAGGATGATGGCTTGTTTTGATGGGACAATGAATCATTGTCGAATTAGAACAAAATGTTAACGACTACTCTCATAATCATCGTAGTATGTGTTTTCAGATAGTTGCAAAGGAGATTGTCATCCATGACATTGATGTTCCAAGTGCACTTATTCACTATATCAATAAACACTCCATTAGCAACATTGTTGTGGGTGCTTCCAGCCGGAATGCTTTTACGAGGTCTGTATTTCTCTTCGTCTCTGTGATAGGGAGGATTTTGATAGTGTGTAAGAAATTAGATTAAGCTAGAACCATCTGGATCCATGCAGGACGTTCAAACATCCAGATGTCTCAACATGTTTGCTCAAATCAACTCCAGAATCATGTTCTGTATATGTCATATCTAGAGGGAAAGTTCATACTAAGAAATTGAGAAAGCGATACCAGTCACTAACTGATGGGAAAGAAGAACCATCCGGAACTCTTCATACTGACAAGTCTCTATCAAAAATACAAAACACGAAAGATAAAAGCAGGTAGAATTCAATAGATATACTTTTGGGTAGATACAATATTCCACAACATTCATCTTTCTCACATGCGAGACAAATTTATTGGGTAAACTTATTTATCTTTTCATTAGCAATTCACAATTCGTTATGTTTCTTTTTCATTCGACTCTTTCACAAGCCTATTTGAGAGGATATTGGATCTCTTATCACAGGACTTTGATGTATATTATATATGATACAAGTAGAAGCGAACATCCTTGCGCAAGGAATCCCCGTTGTGAAATTTGAATGATTAACAATACTGAATACTATGTTGAGGATTGTTGGGAGGGAGTCCCACATTGGCTAATTTAGGAAATGATCATGGGTTTATAAGTAAGGAATACATCTCCATTGGTATGAGGCCTTTTGGGGAAGCCTAAAGTAAAGTCATGAGAACTTATGCTCAAAGTGGACAATATCATACCATTGTGGAGAGTCGTGATTCTTAACATGGTATAAGAGTCATGCCCTTTACTTAGCCATGTCAATAAAATCCTCAAATGTCGAACAAAAAAGTTGTGAGCCTCGAAGGTGTAGTCAAAAGTGACTCAAGTGTCGAACAAAAGGTGTACTTTGTTCGAGGACTCCAAATAAGGAGTCGAGCTTCGAATTAGAGGAGGCTGTTCGATGGCTCCTCTAAAGGCCTTAGGAGAGGTTTATAGTGTACTTTGTTCGAGAGGAGGATTGTTGAGGATTGTGATTCCCCAACATACTATACTGAAACTTCCGAAGTCTTATCCAAGTGTTTCTTCACTAATTTCTGTATGGATGGACTTCTTATCATTACTTGATTAGGATGCTGGCCTTCTGGAATTGTGTACTTGAAATCTAATAGGAGTCAAAGAGATGATAAAAATTTCTGAAAAGTTTGATTTCCGTCTTTTTTTCTCTTTTACCGGTGTACCAATACAAAAGCCCAATTTTCCTTTTACATTGTTCGTTCGGTAGTGTTTGTTTGTGTAGACTCATAGGATAAGCATACACGTTTTTTTAATGAATTTTCTTTTTCCTTTTTTCTCGATCAGTAGCTTTGGTTAATATTCTAGAACTGCCTTTAGAGGTGCTGCTTGTAACGAATGACTAACAACAGTTTGTTTCGATTGTAGGCATCGTTATAGCAACAGTGTTGATTCACTGTCAAGCGTTAGTGACTTTTCAGGGCCTCTCAGTTTCAGATCAACTGGCACATCATCCTCTGAGAGCTTAGATTTTTCGTTAACCTCAGAGAGTAATTCAAAGAGCTTTGTTACCTCTAACACAGCAGTAAGTAAGGAATTATACAATTTCTTGTTCAGCTAAGGAGCTACCCAATTTTGGTCAGTTAATGGTTGCATTTCCAACATCAGTTGTATTTGAGTTTACATTTGGGCAGTAGAAATTTATTCCTTTTAAGTTATATAGTTATAGGCATGGATAATTGACTCAATAATTTAGCTTATCTGGATTTACAGGCTTCCATAGAATCTGAGATGAGAAAGTTAAGGTTTGAACTCAAAGGGAAGATGGAAATGTATGAATCAGCTTGCAAGGAAGCTCTAGTAGCAAAACAAAAGGTTAGAACTGATACCTCTTGTATATCAGATGATATACTTGATCTCAGAAGTGCTAAATAAACATTGTTCAAGCCCAGTTGATCCTGAAAGAAGTAATGTGTTTGATGCCAGGCAAATGAACTCGCACAATTGAAGATGAAAGAAGAGAAAAAGTTTGAGCGAGGTAAATCTGCAGAAGAGGTTTTAACAGCATTGTCAGAGCTTGAGAAGCAGAAAAACAAGGCTGGGACAGAAGCAGCTCTAATGGCACAAAGGCTGGAAGAATTAGAGATCCAGAAAAAACGAAATATTGCTGAAAAAAAGGCTAAGATTGAGGCGGAGGAGAAGCAGAAAACAATTGATTTATTTGAACGCGCAAATATCTGCTTCAAACGATACAGAATTGACGAGATCGAAGCAGCAACAGATCATTTTAATGAGTCAAACAAGATTGGTGAAGGGGGTTATGGACCTGTTTACCAAGCCTTTCTCGATCATACTTCTGTTGCCATTAAGATGTTGAGCCCAGAGAGATCTCATGGGCAGAGACAATTCCAGCAAGAGGTAATTTTTTTTCTTTCTTCTTTATCTTGGCTGGAAATAACTGCACGAAATTATCAGCCATAAGTGTGTTTTCTGTAACAACATCAGACTGAATAAAAAACATATTTGTAATGAATGATAATCATGCATTTAAAAAGTTCCTGAAAATTGCACTGTTCATAATTTGCAGATTGAGGTTTTAAGCCGCATGAGGCATCCACACATGGTTCTCCTTATGGGTGCCTGCCCAGAATATGGTTGCCTTGTTTATGAATATATGGAAAACGGGAGTTTAGAAGACCGTCTTTTCCGAAAAGACGACACTCCTCCAATCCCTTGGAAAACTCGTTTCAGGATAGCTGCTGACATTGCCACTGCACTTCTGTTCCTTCATCAAATGAAGCCCGAACCCGTGGTGCATCGTGATCTCAAACCAGCAAACATTCTCTTAGATCAGAACTATGTGAGCAAGATAGGCGATGTGGGTTTGGCCAGGCTAGTCCCGCCATCGGTTGCTGATAGTGTCACTCAATATCACATGACGGCTGCAGCTGGAACCTTCTGTTACATTGATCCAGAATACCAACAAACAGGAATGCTAGGTGTGAAATCAGATATTTACTCATTTGGTGTTCTGCTACTCCAGCTCATCACTGCAAGGTCACCAATGGGTCTTTCATATCAGGTTGAGGAGGCCATTGAACACGGCACATTCCCACAGATACTTGATCCTACAATTACAGATTGGCCCATTCAAGATACTCTTGGACTCGCTCAATTAGCCCTGAAGTGCTGTGAGCTAAGGAAAAGAGATAGACCCGACCTCGGTACCGTTCTATTGCCTGAACTAATAAGGCTAAAAAAATTGGGATTGAGCGGAATACCACCAAAGAGGAAGCTCACAGCTTTTGGGAGAGCACATGGTCAAAGCACTTCTAACTCAGCTCCACATTTCAAGGGATCAGAAAATGAGGTTGGTTGCCATCTTTTATTTTTATGTAGCAGGCTTTAAACTTTGCATTTATATCTTCTTGCTATTATGTATAATCAGGTAGGAATGAGAAACAATCCTAACCTGCCAATGGAAATTCAACGTAGATCAATGTAAGAAAAAAGTGGCAGCGACTGAAATTCAGTCCGAGTTTTTGGAGCCAGAAGGGTGGTATTGGTTTGAATACCATTTCTCAGCAGGAAAAGGAAAATTGGAGCTCGAAGAACAACAGCGGTGCAAAAGTCTCAACCATACCACTGAGTGGAAACCCAATTGTAGAACTGAGGAAGTGGCGGCACACCAGTGAACGCTGTTGGTCATGTGTAAGTTGTGTTTCTCCTACTACTTCTGGGTTGAAAAAACCACACTCATTTGCATAAGAGAAATTCATATTGTCTACCTTGATTGCTTTCATTGTGTATTTCTTCTGTCTGATAAGAACTGGATTATTTAAGCATGCCTGCCTGCCTCCAAATCTGACTTGTTTCCGCACCAATTTCCTTCTCAAGAGCCCACTTCTTGTAATACATTCTTCCCATCACTCTTGGGTTATACTGAATCATTTATAAATATTTGAACATTCCCCAAGCTTTTGAATGGTTTGGATTTGTTCCATGTGACTTAGTATAGTTTAGTTTGTTAAGACAAGTTAAATTATTGATTAAAAGGTTATAGATGAGATCCTACATTTGTTGGAGAGGTTTTAAAATCGTGAGGCTGACGACGATACATAATGGGTCAAAATGGACAATATTTGTTAGTGGTGACATCAGGTTGTTACAGTATCAGAGCCAAACTCTGAGCGGTGTGCTAGTGAGGATGTTGGCCCTTATAGGGGGTGGATTGTGAGATCGCACATCAATGGGAGAAGTGAGGATGTTGGCCCTTATAGGGAATGAATTGTGAGATCACACATCAACGGGAGAGGAGAACGAAACATTCTTTACAAGGGTGTGGAAATCTTTCCTTGACAATATATAACAGACCGAAACTGACAATATCTATTAGTGGTTGTCGGTGATACGTAACGGGTTAAAGCAGACAATATCTGCAAGTGGTGGCATTGGGTTGGTTTCATTTGAGTTTTAAATCTCCATTGTTACATGTTGTTGAGCTAAATAAAACGTGACGAGTGATTAAATTATTTGAAAATTTTAGTTAAAACGAAGCTAAACGTAATCGTTAACATAATTAATAGTTTTGCAATTGGAAATTCAATTAATTCTTATAAAAGAAATTAATTATTGACATCTAATCAAATATATTTGGAAACTTTCAAGTTTGGTAGTTTAAAAATAATTTGAATATCTAACGTAAAAGAAAGAAATATAGGTTAATTATTATATTATTAAATTAGAGACAAATTCAATAATAATTAGGGGGTTGGGTTCGCCTGAGTTGAACCGGAGAGACTTTAGAGAGAAAGAAAACGACCACAAACCGGTTTATCTGGCTCCCTCTGAACCGAGAATCGCTGTTCTTAAGAAGAATCTTCTCTCTTTTTCCTGTCTTTGGGAGAGAATTCACAATCGAGTGTAGCCCTAAGCTTAGAGCTCAAAATCTCAATAATGGCGGACCGTTCTTCCGATCGCGAAATTGATTCAGGCTTTGATCAGGGCTCATCCCAACCGCGTCTTTACAACCCTTACAAGGATCTCCAGGTTCCTTACCGAAACTTCCAGCTTCCAACATCACCGGAGTTTCTCTTCGATGAAGAAGCTCGCCGCCAGCGTCGATCTTGGGGCGAGAATCTCACCTTCTATACCGGTTGCGGTTACCTCGCTGGTGCAGTCGGCGGGGCGTCTACGGGCTTCGTCTCCGGCGTCAAATCTTTTGAATCAGGTGATACTATGAAACTTCGGATCAATCGGATCCTGAACTCTTCTGGTCATTCAGGGCGTCTCTGGGGGAATCGGCTCGGTGTGATTGGGTTACTATATGCTGGTTTGGAGAGCGGAATTGAGGCTGTGAGGGATACGGACGACGTGTGGAACTGTGTCGCAGCGGGACTTGGCACCGGTGCGCTTTATCGTGCGGCAAGAGGAGTGAGATCAGCGGCGGTGGCCGGTGCTATTGGCGGCGTTGTGGTTGGAGTGGCGGTGACGGGTAAGCAGATGTTGAAGCGGTACGTGCCGATTTGAGGAATGTTAGTTTGCAATTTTGATCGATATACATCGTGTTAGGAAGAAGCCATAGTTTGAGAATGCTGGGGTTGAAATTAACCAATTCACTTGATAAGTTCTATACGAGGTTTACTCGTGCTTCTTTATTTGCTTCATTGAGTGATGCAATTCGTCGAGTTCTCTGATAATCAATAATCTCCATGAATTTAAACTTTTGGTATGGGAATCATCCAATATTTCTATGATTACATCTCACAATTTGGATGTAATTAATGAAATTCTCTGAAGTTTGATCCAATATTTCTTATTTGTTCAAGCTCTCATGATGTTGAATATATGATCTTATCTGGGTTCATAATTTGATTCAAGAATTTCAATTCTTATGTCATGGAAAACTGTTTGATCATTGAAGGGGAACGGATTCCTCACCCCTTTGCCTATGATATCGCTTTATTTAGTGCTTGCCAGTGATGGACTCTTGATGAACTATTCTCTCTGCAGTGTGTTGTGAATTTGATAAGAACATTCAAAGGTTGAACTCAGAAATGGGAAAACTATGGTTTGAATTTCTCCATGAACTACTTAATTTAAGCAATTAGGAAGTGTTATTACTTGGGGCAATGGAACTGATATCACATTGGTTGGGAAGGAGAACAAAAATACCCTTTATAAGGGCGTGGAAACCTTCTCCTCGCAGAAGCGTTTTAAAGCCTTGAGGGAAAGCTCAAAGAGGACAATATCGACTGGCGGTGGATCTAGGTTGTTATGATATCAGAGCCAGACACCGGATGATGTGCCAGCCTTTTGGCTGTTCTCCGAAGAGGGTAGACACGAGGCGATGTGCCAGTAAGGACGTTGGTCCCAAAGGGGGTGGATTTGGTGGCGGTCCCACATCGATTGGAGAAAGGAATGAGTGTCGGCGAAAATACTAGGGCCCGAAGGGGGGTGGATTGTGATGTTCCACATTGGTTGGGGAGGAGAACAAAAACACCCTTTATAAGGGTGTGGAAGGTGGATTGTGATGTTCCACATTGGTTGGGGAAGAAAACAAAAACCCCATTTATAAGGGTGTGGAAACCTTCCCTTAGCAGACGCGTTTTAAAGTTCGAGGGAAAGCCTAAAGAGAATAATATCTACTAGTGGTGGGCCTGGATCGTTACATTCTTCGAGTGCTTTCAGCCCATCAGAGCGGATAAAATGGTATTAGGTTCATTGCTTTTATAGTATTGCATCTCTATATTTACATCATGTTCTAATGTTTTTGTTTTAGCAACATTCTAAGCATAACTGTTATAGATTGAAGGTACAGGCATTAAAAGAACTGGCAGGTCCTCCCATATTGAGGCATTCTTTGGCTTTTGCAGTCAGGTGCTTCACCAGAGTATGCCTCTTTGTGGTTGGTGAAGTTATGGAATGAAATTCACTGAAACAGAACTTTTTGGAATTGACTGTACTTCTTAGACTTGTATCCAGAAGCTAGAGCAACAGGTCAAATGGTATTGCGTGCCGATAAGTCTATGCTGATAAGGTTGACTCTCCACTAGGTACAATCGGAACTCCCTTAAGTAGTGTCCTCTAGCATGTCACGGTCCTAAATAGGTGATGTTGCATTTTTATGTGCTAAGTAGACCTTCACTAGTCGAGGTGGGTTCACGATCAGGGGTTACATCCTAACGTCTCTACATAGACCTAGTTGATCCATGTCATCATAATGGATTGTAAATGTAGCTTAAGAACCAACAAAATTAAAATATGGCCCAAGGTTGACAAACAAGTAATACATATCCTTTAGATATATAACATCTAGTTCATAAGTCAATCAGGGCATATATAGATATTCTAACCTCCTAACATTTTGTAACAGACCTTAACTTTCTACTAATATAAAGTCGCTACCGTCATCTTAACCTAAGCTCTTATGTAAAATTTAACTCTTACAACATCATTGTTAAATTATAAATTCATCTTAAAAACATAACATCATCATTAAAATATTGTCAATGTTCGAAAACATAATTAAAGAAATAATAATAAATAAAGTAAAATACGAAATAAAAAACAACCTATACTGACCTAAGTCTAAGAATTTAAAGTGTTACTAGTCTATGCATATGTCATGGTCACTGATTGTGATGTTGTCGTCATCTGTATAGGGTGTCTTGCCTTTGATATAGCACATGTTCTGAGTATTTCAAGAATAAGAGTGCAACATGAAGTTTACAGAGGAATGACTTATAGTTAATGAATGAAAATTAATTAATTAAAGACTTTAATTAATTAATTTTGTATCATTCGATCTATAGGTCGTTCATTGCTAGCTCATTCTAACACAAAAGTTGAATTTGGAGGTTCAAATTAATATTTAATATATTAGATATATGAAAAGAAAATTATATTTATTATATTTGATACCATATCAACACATTAAATTAAATAAAAATAGATTTAAAATTTGTATGAAATTTAAATTAATTAAATATATATTATGATATTTTATATTCAAATATATTATTTGGTAAAAATTCTCTCCAGAATGAAACACACTCTCCGAGTTTCTCACATTTTTATTTTTTTTATTTTTTATTTTTAGAATGAAGCACATCCTCAAGAGAATTCTCTTGAAACTCTCTTTCTCTGATCTATTGGATATTTTCTATCAAGAGACCTTTCCAATTCATTTGAAATTTTCTTTCAAGAGGCTCCCATAAGCCTTGACCTTGTGTTCGAGTCATAGCAAGTAAGGTCTTGTGAAATGTGGAAAAACTTCTATCTTGGAATACTCCAACGAGTCTTGCAAGTTTGGAATACTTTAAAAGCCTTGCAAGTCATGGTTTCTACCAAAGGTAGGGTTCTTAGTCTTCTATTTATGGTTTTTTTTTTTTAATTCTTAATAAAATCAAAACAGTTCCTAATGTTTTCGTATATGAATGAAGAGTTCATTCTCTTGAGCCTGACAGTTGTGCAGATGTTCGTCTCAACGACTTGCAAAATCTATTATATAAGTCTTCCCGTATTTGATTAAACTTTTTTATTTGTTCATCAGTCTTGGAGTGGAAAGTTTGTTACCCTTTAGAGCTATACTATTTTATACAAATCACTATACTCAAACTATTAATTACTCCCACATTTCCGTTACCCTTTAGAGCTATACTATTTTATACAAATCAGACTACTCAAACTATTAATTACTCCTCACATAATTACGCTCGGTCTCTAGTATCATTCAATATAGAACACGGTCACGTCTCAGGGAAGTGGCGCATGAGTTAGATATAACTTATGAAATCATCCCACGATAGATCATACGTTCATATGATTGAGAGCGATACGTTGACTCTATTAACGCCGTTCTTCAGATAAGGTAGTTGGAACCATGTTTTTACGCCCCGACTACTCTGATGCTGAAGGAGACTTGATCACACATTACATCCTAGAGACCACGATAATAATACCGGGTGCTCTTTAACATTCATGGGATGCGAATTACAAGGACAGTTAGATGCTTTGTATTCCACTACAACCCTTCCATTGGATGGGGATTAAAATAACACACTCCGGAGAGTTATCAAACAGCCTAGACGACGTAGAGAACACTTTAGCTTGTAGCGTATCCTCCTTCTATCCTACTTTTGGAGTGGTGCCTAATCCTATTTTTGGGGACCGGATTTCCCAATTTCTGTATAATACTGCAGTGCTAATTACCCACAAGTGGGTAGTGTACCTCACATCCGTGCTTGACACAACGGAGGTTGGAATCCCATGGAGTCGAATTTATCTCTTCTAAATACAGCCTAGCCAATCTATGAAATGTATAGGTAACCTTACGAAGGATGAATTGTACAAATTTCATCAACCTGTCGATGATTACCTAAATAATGGTGTATCCCCGCTAGTCCTGATAGCCCTAATATGAAACATTTTTATTGGGGTATGTTTATGGGTTGTTGGTAGGTCAGATATTTGCTTACATAGTTTGTTTAGATGTATTGTGTAAGGAGATTCGTGCAACACTGTCAAAATATCTCTCTTAATCTTGTCGACATTAGGGATACAGAGTCATTCGTGGTATAATAAACTATCGTCAGACAACATGGACAATCTTATGTGAGGTCATTTTTATGTGTGCGAATAATGCATTGTCTTAGGTCTGGTTGCACATTGAGCTTGGCGAGCCTTCCCGTGGTGCTTCGTACCATCACCTCAATGTCGGCTCTTTCCTTCTTTGCCTGTAACTCAACTTGTTTGATGATAAAGGCAGACGAATGAGCTATCTTTCTGCTTACGGTGTTTGTCACCACATTTATCTTACTCTGATGGTAAATAATCTCAATGTCATAATCTTTGACTAATTCCAACTAATAGTAATATCTGGAGTAAAAGTTGATTTATATTAATTAATTAATTTAATAATAATTATTAATATTTAATATTAAATAAACTCAAAATCCTAAAATTTTAAAATTTAAAGTACGTTAGTAAAATTAAATTGCATTTTGATGAGTTAAAATTATTTCAATAATTTCTCTATAAAAAAAAAAGTCAATAATAATTAATTATCTAAAATTAAAAAATTTAATAAATTTTTTAAAAATAATTTATTTATGAAATAAAATAAATTTATTTATCATAAACCAAGGACAGTTTTGGAATTCTGGTTAATTATTATTCTGAGTCGAAGGCTCTACAAAAACCTAACAGTTTTCTGTAAAATATCTCTTTTTTGTTCGCTGCGCTTTGCCCAACACTCGCCTCCAACTCCACGGATCAGATCCGAGGAGTTTGGCAAACCCTAGCGCCCTTTCTTCAATCTCCTCATTTTCCTCTATCAATCTGCAGGTCTGCTTCTCTTTCCACTTCAATTTTTACCTTCGTTTCTTCTTTTGTTTCAGGGGACGAACATGGTTGTATGTGTAGGTCACTTCTTTGGTTATGGATATCTTTTTCTTTACCCTCCAACAACGATGAGTTCTCTTTGATTTTCCTTTTTCTATTAACATTTGGCGCTAATCTGTTCTCGCTTGTCGTGTTTGTTGATGTTGTTTTCCTTTGTTTATGAGTTGTAATCGTTTCCCTTAAGTTACATGATTCTGTTCGTGTGTATTTTGACATAATGAATTAGTTATGTGGATTTTATTTGCTCTACCTCGTGGGACTGCGAGTGTAAATTATAGGAGGAATTACGGCTTCGGCTTTGGGAAAAGGTTAAAGCGGTGTCTGGTTCTAAGGATTTTTTTTTTCTTGATAAATATATATCAGATGGCCTTAAGTCCTTTTCCTACACTGAGACAGAAATTTAATGCTTGTTCTCCTGTTTATGTGGATTGCAAGTTTGGCTTTTCTGTTACAGATTTCCTTTCTCAGATTAGCTTTGGACAATTTCATAATGTTGTTTTATTTGTCTGTTGGTCCAGTTGATGAAATGATTATGGTTTTTACATTTTCGTTGCCTGATAATTCGGGATATTTTATTTGTTTTTCTGTTCATCTTAATGTTCCCTGTTTTCTTGCTTATATTTTTCCCTATTTTGTACTTGCAGCCATGGCAGGTTTGGCTCCAGAAGGATCCCAATTTGATTCTCGCCAATATGATTCTAAAATGAATGAGATGTAATTTTTTTTTCCGTTTTTCCGTTTTTCACAATGAGCCTTTACCACTGATCTTTTCCCCTTCATGTGTATGCACTATTTACAGCTATATTTTCTTCTTGCAGTCTTTCAGCAGAAGGCCAGGAATTTTTTACATCTTATGATGAAGTTTATGAAAGTTTTGATTCAATGGGGCTGCAAGAAAACCTCCTCAGAGGCATTTATGCTTATGGTATATACTTTGTTTCATTATTTCTTTCTTTCTTTTTTTTAACTCATTTTGTCTCAAATCTTCCTTGTAATTTCCTATATAATTCCAAGGGTTTTCCCTTACTTCTTAAGGTTTTGAGAAGCCATCTGCAATTCAGCAAAGGGGTATTGTTCCATTCTGCAAAGGCCTTGATGTGATTCAGCAGGCTCAGTCTGGTACTGGGAAGACTGCTACCTTCTGCTCTGGGATACTGCAGCAACTTGATTATGATCTAGTCCAGTGCCAGGCTTTAGTTTTGGCACCAACTAGGGAGCTCGCTCAACAAATAGAGAAGGTTATGAGAGCTCTTGGAGATTATCTTGGTGTTAAGGTTCATGCTTGTGTGGGAGGGACAAGTGTCCGTGAGGATCAACGCATTCTTCAAGCTGGTGTTCACGTTGTAGTTGGAACACCTGGTCGTGTGTTTGATATGTTAAGGAGGCAGTCTCTTCGCCCGGATTCTATTAAGATGTTTGTATTGGATGAAGCTGATGAAATGCTTTCTCGTGGTTTTAAAGATCAGGTGAATTTCTTATCTCGATGCAAACATTTTGTAAGTTCATTTTGCTTCACTCTGTTGGCTTTAGGTAGGTAGTTAATAGACATGTTTCAACGTTTGGGTTTATATCCAGAGCGTAGCTTTTGACATCTCTTTTCCAGGTGAATTGGGTGAATACTAATGGGAGTATTAAACCATTCGAATATACTCCTTTTAAATCAAATGTACATTACCGAGTAAGATACACGCCAGAGTAGTAACTTCATGATGACTGTGTTTAGTAGGAAGGCAATTGACATAAATATTGTATTACTAGGTTCATGAGTGCTGAATTCTTTTTCAGGCTTTTTGAAAGTCAGATCCTTGGCCGTTGTTTACAGTGGTATTTTGTTCTCAGCATTTGTATTAAGAGTTTAAATTTCTAATTGCTTCTATGTTACTTCTTTTTGTGGTTGTAGATTTATGACATTTTCCAGCTTTTGCCATCAAAAATTCAAGTTGGGGTCTTCTCCGCCACAATGCCACCTGAAGCATTGGAGATCACTAGGAAGTTCATGAATAAGCCAGTCCGAATCTTAGTAAAACGTGATGAGCTTACTTTGGAGGGTATCAAACAATTTTACGTAAATGTCGATAAGGAAGATTGGAAGCTTGAAACTCTTTGTGATCTCTACGAGACTCTGGCCATCACTCAAAGTGTTATCTTTGTTAACACACGTCGCAAGGTCGATTGGCTTACAGACAAGATGAGAAGCCGAGACCATACTGTATCTGCCACCCATGGTGACATGGACCAGAACACTCGAGATATAATCATGCGCGAATTCCGGTCTGGCTCTTCTCGAGTTCTTATTACAACTGATTTGTTGGCTCGTGGTATTGATGTTCAGCAAGTCTCCCTTGTCATAAATTATGATTTGCCAACCCAACCCGAAAATTATCTTCATCGTATTGGGCGAAGCGGTCGATTTGGAAGAAAAGGTGTCGCCATCAATTTTGTTACAAACGACGATGAGAGAATGCTTTTTGATATTCAGAAGTTCTATAATGTGGTCATTGAAGAGCTGCCCGCTAATGTTGCAGATCTCCTATGAGGAAGTTTTGTTTGTTTGGTTTATTGTTATTATTATTTTCTTTTTTGTTTGTTTTGTTTCGTTGTTTATAGGGATGGGATTTCTCTTATCTCTGAAGTGAACTATTTAGCCTCCCACCAGAACTCTTCCCCCCCCCCCCATTAGCTTAACTTCGTTTTCTTATATTATTAGTACCATCAAACTGACATTTTGTTTATCATGTATGGTCTGCTTTCTGTGCAAGATTTAGATGATGTCGAGCTGAATTTATTTGTGGTTTGGTCTCGTGTTTTGCCCAACATTGGACCGAACCAAACCGTGCACACCCCCTGATAGTGCTGGTGAACACCAAACGGTAGGCTACCATAGTCCGACTCATTACATTATCAATATAAATAATTGAGTTTGATGTTGCATATTCAGTTGAATGTATCTTTGGGGCGGCTTCAGCTAGAAGCAGGACAGGTATATTTATGGAATGATTAGTGCCCCTTGGAAATCAATGTAACCAAAGGTTTGCCTTTTCCAAATAAGTATCATCAGTAGCATTGACATTGTAGATAGCTAATAGTTCCCTCTGTTTTCCTTGCTTACCGCTATCAAGTGTCATAGTTTCTTAGGGCTTACGGCAAAAAAAGGCATAGGCACATCACCCCATGGCCACCGCCACACAAGTCAAACTATATACTAAAAAGTCCTCCACGTAACTCGTTATTGCACGAGGCCAATGCGCTTTTAGCCTCTTTATGATGCCCCTCTTAGGGCCACCTAATTGATTGACACAACCTTGGAACATTCACTCATAAGAATGTACCACCAAAGCCAGCCAATACCTAGCCATAATGGACCATCTCAATTCACTGGAAGAGAGGATACAGCTGCCATTAGCTAAGAATTGAGGGCCACAGGATCAACTTTTGTGTACTCTAAAGGACTGCAATAATGGAAATGGTGGAGAGATTTTAGGTCTTGAAAACCTCCCATCCATTTGTTGGGCAGTTGCACCAAATTCACCCCATCAATCAATTAACAACTACAATATTTTTGTTTGAGTTTGTTTATTATGCATCTTCTTAGACGTACATGTTCAATTCCCAACTGATAAAATCATACTACGCTCAAACTTATGTGATAAAGTAAAGATTTTTCGTTCTAACTTAGTCGTTTTTTTTATTTCTAGTACTACAATAGTATCATACTACCTTTGTTCACTTTATAATTTTACTTTCGTAAGTATTCTTTTTGTAATTTTACTTTCATAGTTATTCTTTTTAACATTCACGACTCCATAACCAATAATAAATAAAATGAGTATTCATCAAAAAAAAAAAAAAAAATTTCTTATGACAGTCAACTTTAATCAACTTTATTTAAGGAGGACAGAACCTAAGAGAAGTTGTAGCCACTCACTTTCATGACCATGTTGGCTTGACTTGATGGAAAGGGTATGTTGTGAGGCTCCATTGAAGTGCTTTTAATTTAAGCAGGAGGTCGAGTTGATGACTATTCCACGTGCCAAAGAGTCAACATTTCGTAGCTCATGCAATGCCCTTAGGTGAAGACAATTGTAAATGGCAATCCCAAAAATTTATTATATACGCCTAGATCCTCAAATCCTCCAATCGAGAGATTATAAATACACACGTTATCCTCATCTATAACCATCATAATAAGCAGACCCAGAACCATTTTTCCTTCCCCCTTCCCAATTTAGCCTCGAGACTTTCAAATTCTCTGTTCTCTTTGAAGTTTGGCTATGGAGGATTTCAGATCCAAATCTTGCAGAGAAGGCAGAATGCAGATTGAAAGCTACTATGAGAACAAGGCTGCCCCAACAAACATGCAAGATCTGAGGTCTTACAGTGTCAGCTATGCAGGTTCTATGCAGCAGCAGCAGCAGCAGCAGCAGCAAAATCAACCAGACAAAGAGATGAAAATGAAGAAACCCAAAAGCAATATGGGGTCAACTTCTAAAAGCTGGAGTTTCAAGGATCCAGAACTGCAGAGGAAGACAAGGGTTGCTGGATATAAGGTTTATGCAGTGGAAGGGAAGATGAAAGGGTCTCTGAGAAAGAGTTTCAGGTGGATTAAGAACACTTACACTCATGTAATCTATGGATGGAGGTGATATGAACAGTCATTTTGTTGTGTGAGTTCTTGTTTTGGATCTTTAATTTCCTGAATATGTAACTATATGATGAATCTATTGGCTGTTCCTTAAATTCGTAAAGAAATGAAAGTTTGATCTATGTTATCAGTGGTCTCGATTTGCTCTGTTTTTTTTACTTGATATATTGAAAGGGGTCTCTGTAATATATTAGAATCAGTTTGTGTTCATAATTTGGGGGAAATGGGGAAAAGAAAACTGGGTTTTGTTTGAAATGATGGGTTTCTTCACAAAACCAAATTGATCACTGGTTTAGTGACAGATTTTTGGATGTCCTTCCACCGACACCATTAGAGACCCAAAAAAAGCAGAGGAGTGGAAGAGTCGGAAGAAGGCATGAATGATTCAGTTCAGACTTTGGAGACAGTTTCACATGCCAATAATTGTTATCATGTTTGCTTCTCTCACAGATCGCTAATTTATAAATCAAATCAGGCTTTGAAAATTCTGTAGCTTCTCTGTCGGTGTTGAAGAAACGTAAATCTTCAGCTGGAGATGATGGTGATGGGGATGACTTAAATGATTAGATCCCACACCCGTGGAGGAAGACAACGAAACACTCGTAAGGGAAAGTCCAAAGAGGACAATATTTGCTAGCTATGGACTTGGGCTGTTACAAATAGTAGCAGAGGCAGACATCGAACAATGTGCTAGCAATGAGGTTGAGCCCTGAAGGGGTGGATACGAGACGATGTGCCAGCAAGGACGTTGGACTCCAAAGGAGCATAGATCGAGAGGTCTCACATCAATTGGAAAAGGAAATGAGTGTCAAATAGGACGCTGGGCTCTAAAGGGGCATGGATCGAGAGGTCTCACATCGATTGGAGAAAGGAACGAGTGTCACGTTGGGCTCCAAAGGGAGTGGATTGTGAAATCCCAGGTCAGTTGGAAAAGATAACAAAACATTCTTTATAAGGGTGTAGAAACCTTATCCTACTAGACGCGTTTTAAAAATCTTGAGGAAAAATCCGAAAGAAAAAGTCTAAAGAAGACTAACTCATTCAGCTCATTACCAATAATCAACTTAACATTGAAATATGTCTTAATCCTAACAACCATGGTTGAAGGATGAAATTGTTGAACCTCCTATGCATAGTTTCATTAGATCAAATTTGAGAGAGTCGTATAAGGAAGAAAAATGCAAGATCATCAATGATTGTGAAAGCAGCAGATGATACAATTAGAAGCCATATATAAATTTAGATGATTAGAATGATCAATCGAAACAGAGTTGAATGAGATGACAAAGTCAGTTGTTGAATATCAGAGCTATCAGTAAGGGGGATATACAAACAGAGCAAAGGGGGAGCAAAGGGGAAAGAATGGAAACAGCAGGCGGCTTTAAGGGTATCAGCTATTCTACAAGCACTTATCATTTCAAATCCTTTTTTTAAGTTATGGTACATACAAAAGCTCCAGAAGCACGTTCTTTTTGCTATAACCAAATGGGATGCCAATAACCCATTTGCCATAACAGGAGAAAAAATTCAAAAGGAAAAGAAAAAGATTCAAATGGCCGGACTCTAGAGAAAAAAAATCCAAAAAAAATGAAGATTTACGTGGAGGGGAAATTATATTTTCATGAAATAGTACCAGTTGGAGGAGCTCCAAGGGAAGAGTGCTTCTTTTGGAGCTTTCCTTTTAGCTGCCTGATCTTAGCTTCTACTCTGGCTGTGAATCCTATCTTGGTTTTTTGCCTTGCTTTTGATCTTTCCCTAGTCCACATGTGTGTGTCTTCCACATCCTTTCGGTAGTATTTGATTTCTTGGATTATGTGATGATCCATTGGATGGAAGCTTCTCTGGAAGGATATATGGGCAAGATATGGGAGATTGCAGGTAATTGTTACTAAAATGGTGGCTACCCAGTAAACAGGGGCAGGTCCTAATGCTTCAACAAATATTTTATAGGCATTTCCAGAGGATATTACCATTCCATAGAGTAAGATGAACAAATACCACATGGCGATACTACCCCAGACGAGAAGGTGTTGGATCCAGGTGAAGTGGCTCATTGTGAGAGCAATCTGGCAATTTACTGCCCATATAATGCAAGTGAACATGGTGGTTCCGACAGCAGTCATATCGGCAGTTTGGCCACCTGAGCGGAATGCCTGGTCGTAGAAGATGATGAGATTGAGGAAGAAAGTAACTATAGAGGAGTAGACAGCATTCCCCATCCATCCGAAAATCCGAGGCCAGTCGAAGAACAAGTTTTGGGGGCCTTGCTGATAGAGTGCAGGGAACTGCTAGATCGATGATGGTTAGTCACATGAACACATATTAGTTTTCTGATTTATGTTTAAAATGTTTGTGTTTTGTTTACCTGTAGGCACACCTCAGAAGAGACATCTTGTTCAAAAACTCCCAGGGAAATTACAGGCAATGATGTGAGAATGACATTAAATGATAGCATGTAGAAATCGTCATATATTGATTGCCCAGAAAATCCCGCGTATGCTTCGAAGTAGAACAGCGTTAATCCAAATGCGATATTCTTGTAGAAGAAATAGCATATCTGAAAATGAAAATGACCTTGTTAGATCATAACTGGTTGGTGGAGCCTTGATTTCTTGGAAGCCAAACTTGCTTTGAACATAACAAAGAACATTACCATTTGCGCTATCCTCTTGTAGCACCAATGACCATGGACTACCAGAAGCCTTTCAAGAAACCGAAATTGGGCAATAGAGAAGTCACTAGCCATCACAGCCTGAGAGAATTAGGAGTTAAAAAGAGAGAGAGAGAGAGATAGGGATATTTATTTAGTAGAGTTTAGGAGAGTCCTTTGTGCCTACCTGCATACCTTCAACCCCGCTGATACCGACACCAATATCGGCCTCTTGAATCATTCCCACATCGTTTGCGCCATCACCAATTGCCAAAGTGGTTTTCCCAGTACCTTCTTTCACTAACCTTGTTACCTGCAGAAACGCCCCCGAACAGAGGTCAAAAGTCGAAATCAACAGTTCATGCTTATGTATGATACACCAGGAGTACATTATATAAAATGGTTAACCATAAAACCAGGAAGGAAGTCCTACCAGGGCTTTTTGCTTGGGGGAGACACGACAGCAAATGACCGATGCACAATCAACAGCGAGTCCAAGGAATTGAAACTTCATATCATCTTCGAGAGCATACGTTAGAGTCTTCCCATCAATGATTAAAGCGAATGCAGCATGTGGATCCTTCTCCAGATTGATCATTTGCGAGGCGTTGGTGATTTGATTCAAAATATATTCTTTCATGGCCTGGCCAAATTCGTATGAAATCAATTTTTCTGTAGCAATTTGCCTGTCTCTCATTCAAAGAATTACATACCTCTTTTCCTTCCTGAGCTAAAGAATCTGAGCTTGTTGATATGCAAATCCGCTTCATTCCCTGTCGAAGTAAACTGCATGCATATCTGCAGACACAAACAATGATCGTCTTTTGCTTAGCATATGAATTTATATGTCTGAACATGGCATATATGATGCAAGACTGACTGACCCTATGTTGATGGCAGTTTCCATTTTATCTCCAGTCAAAACCCAGATCTTAAGACCAGCTTGTGCAAGTTTATCAATGCATTGGGGCACCTACAACAAAAACATAAGCCTAGTTTAAAGAAAAGAGACCAGAATAGTAACAAAAACAATAATGTAAATAGATATTGTTGTCACCCCATTCTGTAACTTATCCTCCACAGCGGTAGCACCAACAAGGGTTAATTCTCGTTCCATGAGGTCGGACACTCGCTCGAGCATTGCATCTCTATCTCCTCCAATGGACGTTTTAGCCTTCTGAAACTCATTGTTCCAAGCAGTATACTCGGACTCCTCAAGCTTCCTATAAGCAAGTGCCAGAGTTCGCAACCCAGCTTCTCCATATTCATTCAAATGCCTTGTGGTTGCTTCCTCATACGTTCTTCCGTTCTTCGATAGTAGATCGAAGATGATGCTGCAAGATTGGAGTTACAAGTACTAAGAAATCCAAAAAAAAACAAAAAAAAAACAAAAAAAAAACGAAAAATGCAGTCGATATCTCTATGAAATTCTCTCAAAAAGATCCATAAGAGCTTCTAATGATGAGACTCACCTATCAGCACCTTTACAGAGAAGAATAATATGGCCACACTCATCCCTAACAATTACAGACATTCTCTTTCTCTTGCTAGTGAAATCCAAAAGATTTAAAACTTTGTATTCCCTGTAAAAATTCCCAAGAGACATCATCAGCAACGCATGAAGCATAGAATTCATGGAAAAATAGGCCTAAGAAACTTAATCAAAGAACTATCTTATTCTTACCTTTCAACTACTTGGTTAGGAGAAGGATATCTTTCACGCACAACCAAGGTTGATTGTGTTCTCTTACAAAACTCAAAACCAAATTCTCTAGCTGCAACAAGAAAAGCACCTTCATCAGGGGACTCTGCTTCATAAGTAAAAGCACCAGTTTCCTCATTCAGCTCAGGAATTGCAGTGTGACAAATTGCTAAAATTCTGAAGAACAATAGAAGAACATCATGATTAGGCTCATTCAACCAGTTTCCATTTGTTAAACGGCTGTCCTCAAAACCAAAATACTTTATGGCAGACTTCTGCTCTTTGACAACACTTGAAGTAAGAACAGTCTCCAATTCAATCTCCGATTCTTTTCGGTCCCATGCCATGGAAGACTGTCGGCTATTTTTTTGCACAACAACATCAGAATAATCTGCATCCTGCTCGTCAAGGTCATATGCCATCTGCCTTACAGCTGCAAGTTCAACCTCACTAGATTTAACACCATATGCAGTCCCAGCAATGGAACATTTCAGAAAGTCCATCTGATTACAAGTCAAAGTGCCAGTTTTGTCGGATAGGATTGTGTCTACCTGACCCAACTCCTCGTTCAAATTTGAAGTCCGAGCTCGAGCGGGATTACTAGTCTCTTCACAATACATGTTAATATCTTGGTTAATGAAGGAAGCTT